GAAAAGAAAAAAAGACATGCCCCTGCACCAGCAGCAAGCGCACACCTCTGCAGTCTTGGCCCTCAGATCTCGAGTGTCACGAATGACAAATGGTGAGTGAACAAGGCCACAGAAACCGCAAGGGGAAACATTCCGTTCTGTTTCCCCACACACACAAATAAGGTGGTTACTGCTTTCTAGGCTTTTTTGTTTTCCTCTCCTTTCTTTTCTGAGACAAAGTCTCCTATAGCCCAGGCTGGCCTTGCGAACTCCTTGATCCTTCCTAGGCCTTCGGAGTACTGGGGTGACAGGAGCGTGTCTCCACACCAGCCACTTTCTGGTTTCTTTCCTAAACTTCTGAGGACAGATGGTATGCAAAGGGACCAAAATAAGCAGGGCGGGTGGTGCACGCCTCTAATCCCAGCACTCGGGAGGCAGAGCCAGGCGGATCTCTGTGAGTTCGAGGCCAGCCTGGGCTACAAAGTGAATTCCAGGACAGCTAGGGTTACACAGAGAAACCCTGCCTAAAAAAAATGGAGGAGGTTAAGGCACTGTCCTTGAAGTGCTTGCCTAACACACAGGGCACGTTAGGCTCCAGCCCCGAGCAACAACGAGCAAGCCCACAGTCAGGCATGGTAGCTTTCACTTGTAATCTCAGCATTCTGGATGCTGAGGCAGGAGGATTACAATGAGTTCAAACCAGCCTGGGCTACATGGTAACTTCCATGCCAGCCTGCGCTATATAAGGAGACCCTGTCAAAACATAAAAATGGGGTCAGGCTGGGAATGCTTGCTAATGAGAAATCACTCTGAGCACCTAGAGATTAATGCAGGAAAAACTCTAATAAAAGCGTGTGCCTGGTTCTGGCTAATGCACAAAAGGGAGCCAGCCTCGAACAGGATATTAAGTTTATATAGACCAGAGGCTCCTACATTCCGAACTCACTGTTCTCCACACATCTCTTTTAGGACCTGACCCAGGTTACACTCTGAACAACTTAGACAGAGGCAGGAGACTGCAAATGTAGTCCCATGGGCAGATGGGAGAGTTACACAGCACAGACATTGCCAGAATTATTTTGACGTACACGGTGTTCTTTTCTAAAGGCTGTCACCTGGGGTCATCTTGCCCACCTGCCAAAATTATGCTTCTGCTGATAAAGACACAATTAATAGTGGACCAAGATTTAATGATTGATGTCCCCATGAGCTGCCCCCTGGAGTGGTCCACTGGAGGCATATATTTTGATAAGGGGGTGGGCCTAATGGCTGGTTCTGGGTCAAGGTTGTCTCCTTTGTTATGAGAATGGAGCCTGATGGGAGGTCAGAAGAAACACGTACAGAAGTGTTCTCACAGTAAACCTAAACTTCATTATGGCACAGACTTTTCCAGCAGGTGCGTCTGCACTCCCCCAGGCACGGTGGAGGAACTGCTCACTCTACCTCTGTAACAGTATTTCCTGAACTGATTTGTTAGTGAGTCCTTCATAGTGTCAATTTTACCACTTCAAGTTCCTCCTGCATCATGATGGCTCAGTGGTAAAGGCTCTCTGGGCTGGAGAGATGGCTCAGAGGTTAAGAGCACCAGCTGCTCTTCCAGAGGTCCTGAGTTCAATTCCCAGCAACCACATGGTGGCTCACAACCATCTGTAATGAGATCTGGTGCCCTCTTCTGGCCTGCTGTCACATAAGGGTTTCTCTATGTAGCTTTGCGCCTTTCCTGAAACTCACTTGGTAGCCCAGGCTGGCCTCGAACTCACAGAGATCTGCCTGGCTCTGCCTCCCGAGTGCTGGGATTAAAGGCGTGCGCCACCACCGCCCGGCAAATAAATAAATCTTTAAAAAAAAAAAAAAAAAAAAGGCTCTCACCACCAAGTCTAATTAATAACCATCTAGGACAACTAATGCCTGAAGTCCCATCCTGTTGATTAATTCCACTCCCTCAGCAACCAAAGCAGATTTGTTTCACATGCCCAGAGGGTGCGGATGCCATAAATATTGATATACTTAAGGCGGAAAGGGAAGAACACCATTCTCTTGGCCAAAGAGCCAAGCTACAGGCTAGAGCCAAGCGTCTAGACTCCAGCATCTTATCTGAAGGAAGCAGTGAGATAAGAGCAGAGATACCCAGAGACAGGAGCATCAGCTTCCGAACATTTGCTTAAGTGAGCAGCTCCCAGCACTCTGGAGTGAGGCAGGACCAGCCTGAGCTACAGTGAGACCCTACTAAAAAGTAAAGCAAAGAAAAAAAGAAAGGCCAGAGTAGATGAACTGCTGCAAGTTCGAGGCAAGCCTAACACATAGTGAATTCCAGGACAGCCTGGGCTACAGAATCAGTACTGTCTCCAAAAATAGATAAATGAAAAGAACAAGAAAAAAGAAATCCAACTTCACCCAATCTTTTACCAATTCTATCTACTCAGTGAGAAATGGGACAGAGACAAACGAATACGCCTATGGCATGCTATCAGTGCTTGCAAAATTGTACTTTCTCTTGTTTGGAGGAACCTGGACACATTTGACTCCCTTCACGTGGACTCCTGGCTGTGTGTGTGGAGGCCAGAAGTCCAAGTCAGCTGACTTCCTCCTCTTCATGCTTTGAACCCGGCTCTCTCTGAACCTGACCTCGCAGTAGCCCAGGGACCCTCCAAGCACTGCGGTTGCAGCCTGCTGCATCTGGCTTAGACGGTGCTGGGCATTCCCACTCGGGTCCTCACACCTGAACTGCAAACCTGTCACCAACAGAGCCACCACCCCAGCCCCCGCTCTTGATCAACCTGCAGACAAGTGCCGTGCAGATCGCATTCTTAAAGAAAACAAACTAATGGTCTGGAAGCCAGAGCAAGCTGGAGTAGTCACTATGAACAGGAGGCCTGCCAGGGATGTCAGGAGTCCCGCAGGTCAGCAAAGGGGCTCGTAGGCCTTCCTGTGAGACGGCGCCGGTGGTGCTCAAGACTTCATAAAACGCACTTTTTCTTTAAAGAAGGCAGTGATGGGTGGGTGAAACTGGGGCCTCTGGTCAAGCCTTGCTTGTATACAACCAAATGGCTGAGTGTTTGCCTGTTCAACTGGCTCCCTCTCCTCTCCTCCTCTCTCTCCTCTCTCTCTCCTCTCCTCTCTCTGAAATAGGGTCTCACTGTGTAGCCCTGGCTGTCCTGGAATTCACGAGGACCCGCCTGCCTCTGCCTTCCCAGTCTGAGACTAAAGGTGTGCGCCACAATGCCCAGCTCCGTCCTCTTTCCAAAGCTGGAATTCTCCAGGGACTGCACAGTTGACAGTCACTCACTGCTGACTGACAGAAACTTCTTCCAGGCTCCTGAGCTGGTTCTGAAGAGGAAAGAGGCCATTTAAAACGCTCCTGTCCCAGCCAGGCGGCTGACTGCTGGGCTCAGCCGGGGGGAGTGCCTGCCTCCCTGGCTTCTGTCCCCAGGACCCCGACATCCAGGCATGGTGGCACAGGCCTGTCATCTCCACACTCCTGAGGTGGAAGGATCAGGAGTTCAGTCATTCTAAGCTACATGGCGATTTATAGGCCAGCCTGGGCTAAATGAGAGCCTGTCTGAAAGAGAGGGGGAGGGGGGTGGCTGGGAATACAGCTTACACGGCAGAGCATTTATCCCGAAGGTGCAAGGCCAAGTTCAGTCCCCAGTGCTGCAAAGCAGCTGGGGGTGGGCCTGTAACCTGACTGCACACCATCTAGCCTCCTGTCCAAATTCCAGCGCCTCTCCTAAAACGGAAGTCCACTTCAGGGAGCAGCCCAACCCAACCCATTCAGAGTGAGTCCTCGCCGGGCCCCTGGCCCGCCCGGGCTGACCGCCCTGGCCACCGAGGTCCGGGTGGCTCGAGGACACCGGCGGACGGGACCAGGGAGGCGGGGACGAGGCGGGGACGAGGCTGGGACCCGGGTCCCAGCGCGCGGGGCAAGCTCGGGAGGGTCCTCGCCGCGGTCCGGACGCGCAGCCACGCCCCGCTCGGGAAGTGCACGCAAGCCACGCCCCCGCGCCGCGTCCTCCGCCCTCCATTGGGCGAGGGGAGTGGCTCGAGGCTCGCCTGTTCCGGAGGCACCCAATAGGAGCTCGGGGGTGCGGTGGGGGGGTGGGGCCGGGGCGGGGCTTTCGGGCACGCGGCAGGGCGGGACCGGGGTGTCGCCGCGGGGACCGCGACAGCACGGCGGGGCCTGGGTCCCCCGCCCCCGGGGCGGGTGGCGGAGCTCTTGGCCTCCCGCGTACACGGCTCCGGAGAACAGCTCCGGGGACCCCCACGGCCGGCCCGGGAGGGCCTCCCCGCGCCCCACCCTGGGTCCCTGCAGCTCCGGCGCCCCCTCTCCAAACAGTCCCTTCCAGTCTCTCGGGAAGGACCTCACTCCCGGCTCTCCGAGTCACTCGGCTTCACCATGCCTGGTTAAAATAAACGCACAAGCCGGCCGCCGCGGCTCCCCGAGTTCGGGGCGGCCCCGCACCCTGCGCCGGCCCCTGGAGCAAGCCTCACCTGCAGCCGCAGCGGCAGCCAGGAGCAGGGCGACGGCCCAGCGCAGCGCCAGACCCGCGGGGCTCATCCTCGGCGTCCCGCCGTCGGTGTCGCGTCCCCGCTCGGCTCCCAGACCCCACCGTGTCCGCGCTGCACCCGACCCGGGGGTCGCGGGCCCCCGGTGTCCGCGCTGCACACCCGGCGCTGCGCTCGGCCGGCCGGCAACTACAGGCGCGGCGCCCCAGGCATCCCCTGCACTGGCAGGCGCGGCTCCCGGGCGGGGGAGGAGTCTGCAGTGGGGTGATTTTCAAAAGTCTTCACCTCACCGTGCGGGGAGGAGCTTCGAACGGCCGATGTGACATCGGCCCTTTAACCCCTGAGGCTCCCGCGGCCCCGCGGTGGCGAGCCCCAGACTCCCTCCCCAGGAGCCCGCCGCACCCTCCGAGCGCTCGGGTGCCAGCGCTGCTGGGCGTTCCAAGGGCCACCCGCGTCCTTCCAGACCCGGGTCGCCCTGGGACGCCGTCCTCGCCACCTCCCAGGGAGCCCAGCCGTGTGCGAAGCCCACCCCGGCCCTCGCCGCCTTCGCGCTCCCGTGCCAGGAGCCAGTACAGCTGCAGCTTTTAGATGGTTGTCCAACTCGATCCATAAACGGCGCTCAGCGAGGCATGTAAATAAAATCAAGGGCGGGGGGGGGGGTGCTCCGTAAACACGACCTGGGGGTGGGCGTGCTGGCTTGGGGAGTGAAGGAGCTCGCCGCCAAGCCTGAAGACCTGAGTTTGATCCCTGGTCCAAAAGTTAGTTATCTTAGATAATTCATCTCAAAATCAAGGGGTTCATTATCAGTGTTGGCAGAAATGTTGATTTCCCTCCCTCCCTCCTTCCCTCCCTCCCTCTCTCTCTTCTCTCTTCTCTCTTCTCTCTTCTCTCTTCTCTCTTCTCTCTTCTCTCTTCTCTCTTCTCTCTTCTCCTCTTCTCTCTTCTCTTCTCTCTTCTCTCTCTCTCTCTTCTCTCTCTTCTCTCTTCTCTCTTCTCTCATTCTCTTCTCTCTCTCTCTCTCTCTCTCTCTCTCTCTCTCTCTCTCTCTCTCTCTCGCACTGCTTCATCAGCCTTTTACAAGAAAGGTGTTCTCAAAGAAAAAAACCGAACCAAACGTGGCGGCTTTCTTTCCATTGACCCTGGACGGCTAAACCACAGGGGCTGAGGCGGAGAAGCTTCGAAGAATCAAGACTCTTGGGATTTGTAGCTGCTAAAATGGTCCCTGGGGGACTGAGCGGCCCAGCTGCACAAGGCTTGACCCAAGGGCTGTATGAGGAGGCTTCGGGTGCCACGCCTAGCTCCCAACAAAAGAAGAACCAAATGGGGGATTGCTCCTTGGCTCAGTGCATGCAGCAAAGCCTGAGAACCTGAGTTCAAACCCCAGGACCCACAGGGGAGACGAGAACTCATTCCTGTGACCTGCACATTTGTGCTGTGGTCTGTCACACACACAGTGATAAAAAAGTAAATAGATAATACAAAACAAACAACGAAAGGCTGAAGAGTGACAAAAAAGAGAACCCGTCTGGGCTTAGTTGGTAGAGTGTCTGCATGGGTTTCATCCCCAGGATCACATAAACCAGGCCTGTTGTCACAAGTCTGGGCCTCTGCACTCCGGAGGAGGAGGAGGCAGGAGGAATGTGAGGCCAGCCTTGCCTACATACATAGTTTGAAGACAGAGGCCAAAAAGATGTAACAAGCTTGTTTTGTGAGTTGATTTCTCTTGAGTTTATTTTTTTTTATTTTTGAGACAGGGTCTCTCTTATTATGTGGCTCTGGCTGTCCTGGAACTCACTATGGAGACCAGGCTGGCCTCAAACTCAGAGATCCACCTGCCTCTGACTCCAGAGTGCTGGGATTAGAGGCGTGCACCACCACTGCCTGGCTTGTCTCTTTTTTTCTCTTAGGTTTTAGGGGTGCTTGTGCGTGTGTTCACGTGTGTTTGGAGGATTGAGTTCAATGTCAGGTGTCCTCAACTGCTACCCACCTAATTCAAAATGCTTTTAATATTCTATTTTGTGTGTCACACATGTGCACACGCCGTGGTGGAGGGCAGCAGACAACTTAGAGAAGTCAGTTCTCTGCTACTCCGGAGGGTCTCAGGACCCACCCACCACACCTGGCGTCTCCTCTCTTGGCAACAGCAGACTATGAACCCTAATAATCCCCAACTCCTGGGCTCAGTGGTCCTGCTTCCTCAGCCTCCTGAGCAGCTGGGACTGCAGCCTGTAGCTCTCTGGGACCCCCTTTACCCTGGCACTGGGCCTCCTTAGAGTCACCGGGAAGAAATCTCTTCCCACAGGTTGTCTGCTGAGCTGGTCCTCCCTGTCAGCTTCCAAGACTCTCAGATAAGCATCTCTGGTCGCACAGCAGGTCCTGGCCAGTTTCCCAGATACCTGCCTGCAACATCTCCAAGCCTCTGCCTGTCCCTGCTATTGGGTAATCGCCTCAAGTCATGAAGAATCAGCCAGGCTGCACTGAGCCCCTAGCCATAAAGAATGGCTTAACCCGCTTGACCGTTCACCGACAGAGTGACACTGAATGCCCAGACACTGAAAATCTTTGCTGCTCCCAGTCAAAGTAGCTGCAACTTCCTGGTGTGGCTGTGGGGTGTGTGTGTGTGTGTGTGTGTGTGTGTGTGTGTGTGTGTGTGTGTGTGAGAGAGAGAGGTGTGTGTGTGTGTGTGGTGTGTATGTGAGAGAGAAGTGTGTGTGTGGTGTGTATATGAGATGTGTGCATGTGTGGTGTGTGTGTGAGAGATGTGTGTAAGAGAGATGCGTGTATGTGTGTGTAAGAGAGAGATGTGTGTATGTGTGTGTAAGAGAGAGAGATGTGTGTGTGGTGTGTGGTGTGTGTGTGTGAAAGAGAGACAGATGTGTGCATGTGTGTACATGTCTGTGTGTCCCAGCCCCTCCAAATTTGGTTAACCTCCATCCCTCAAGAAGGTTGGACCCCTGGCTGTTCGGGGGAGTCCTGTGCTCCTCTGAGGTGATTTTCTCACACCTGCCACCCGCGGTGTCTCCTGAGCTGCCCCGGTTGGCCGCAGAGTTTGCTCCTGAGCGTTTCTGCTTCAGCGTCTCGTCCTTTCTTTTGCCTTCCCCTCACTAGCTTGAGAGAATTACGGAACCTGAAATGTGTTTGCTGCCAGAAGCCAGGCCAGGAATGGAGCGCAGCTATATTGTCCGCCCTCTTCTTCCGGCTTGACCTCCTCCCCCTTCATCCCATCCCTCCCCCCCTCCCCTCCTCCTCCACTTCCTGCCTTCTCCTCTCCTCCCTCCTTTTCAACTTTAGAGAACACCTGCTTTTTTCTGCCCAAAGCAAGAAATGCACATTATTTGGATTTAAATCATTTGGTTTTAAATTTGTGCGTTTGGGGATGTAAGTGCCTCTGTGTGTGTGTGTGTGTGTGTGTGTGTGTGTGTGTGTGTGTGTGCCAGAGTCCTTACACCAAGTGTATTCCTTGATGTCTGTCCACCTTATCTTTAGAGCTATTTGAATCCAGCACTCACTGATTGATAAACTGGCTGGCTAGCAAGCCACAGGGATGCCCTGGTCTTCCTGCAGGCACGCGCGCGCGCGCACGCGCGCGCACACACACACACACACACACACACACACACACACACCACATACATACCACACACACACCACATATGCCCACCCCCACACACCAGACACACATACACACCACACACGCAGACCATATACACACATACACCACATACACCCACATACCCACACACCAGATACACACATACACATAATACACATACATACACACACCACATACACACCCACACATACACACATGCAGGCTACATACACACACACATACCATATACACACACCCACAAACACATACACACCACACACACGCAGACCACATACACACACACACCACATATACCCCCCACATACCTCCCCCCCCCACATCTGGTTTTTTCCTGTGGGTGCTGTGGGTCCAGCTCCGGCCCACGCTTGCACAGCAGTTACTTTACCAACCAGCTGAGCCATCTTTGCTGGTTAATTTTGTCAATTTGATACCAGCTAAAGTCACCTGAGGGGAGGGACCCTCAATTGAGAGGATGCCTCCATAAAATCGGCTGCAGGCAGGCTATAGGGCATTTTCTTAATTAGTGATTGGTGGGGAGGGCCCAGCCCATGGTGGGTGGTGCCACCCCTGGGCTGGTGGTCCTGGGTTCTATAAGAACGCAGGCTGAGCGAGCCGAGTGAAGCAAGCCAGTGAGCAGCACCCCTCCATGGCCTCTGCCTCAGCTCCTGCCTGGGTTCCTGCCTTGGCCTCCCTCAGTGGCCTGAGTGGGGATGTGTGAGCCACATAGCCCCTTTCTCCCAGGGTGTTTGTGGTCATGGTGTTTCATCACAGCAACAATAACCCTGACTCAGACACCTCTCTCTAGTCCAAGGATTTTGATTTTTGTTTCCTTGTTCGTTTTATTTTATTTTTTTAGACAGAGTCTTTCTGTGTGCAACCAGGCTGGACTGGAACTCACAGAGATTCACCTGCCTCGGCCTCCTATATTCTGGGATTAAAGGCACTTGCCATCATGCCTGGCCCAGGATTTTGATTTGTTTTGCTTTTCCCAAGACAGAGTTTCTCTGTGTAGCCCTGGCTGTCCTGGAACTTGCTTTGTAGACCAGGCTGGCCTCAAACTCTCTGCCTCTCAAGTGCTGGGATTAAAGGCGCGTGCCACCTTTTTTGTTGTTGATGTTCTTTTGTTTTTCCAGATCTCATTACAGATGGTTGTGAGCCACCACGTGGTTGCTGGGAATTGAACTCAGGACCTCTGGAAGAACAGCCAGTGCTCTTAACCTCTGAGCCATCTCTCCAGCCCATATAGGATTTTTTTTTTTAAAGAATCGCCGGGGGGCTGGAGAGATGGCTCAGAGGTTAAGAGCACTGGCTGTTCTTCCAGAGGTCCTGAGTTCAATTCCCAGCAACCACGTGGTGGCTCACAACCATCTGTAATGAGATCTGGTGCCCTCTTCTGGTGTGCAGGCAGAACATTGTATACATAATAAATAAATCTTAAAAAAAATTATAAAAAAAATCATTTATGTATATGATTATCTTGCCTGATGGAGATATGTGTGCTTGATGTGTGCATGGTACCCTCAGAGGCCAGAAGATGGAATTGTATCTCCTGGAGCTGGAGTTATAGACAGTTTTGAACTGTCATGTGGTTGTTGGAACTGAACCTGGGTCCTCCGGAACAGCAGCCAGTGCTCTTGACTGCTGAGCCAGCTCTCCAGCCTTTTGTGTTTTTTAAAGTGGGTTTTCGCTATGTAGCCCAGCCTGGCCTCAAACTCCTAGGCCTCAGACTCCTGAGCTGAACTAGTTGCACAGCATCATGCCCAGCAAGGATGACGGGATGAGGACATAAAAAGTTGCTCATAGCTGAGTGACGGTGGCGCACACCTTTAATCCCAGCACTCGGGAGGCAGAGCCAGGAGGATCTCGGTGAGTTCAAGTCCAGCCTGGTCTATAGAGCAAGATCCAGGACAGGCACCAAAACTACACAGAGAAACCCTGTCACAAAAAAACAGGAAAAAAAGAAAAAAGTTGCTTGTGGTTATTATTGTGAGCACACAAATGACACAACTGTTTTTGAGGGGACGACATTATACAGTTGGCTGTCTCCTTCCCCCTTTTCATAGGTTCCAGGGACCAATCTCAGGGCCCCAGGCGTGTGTGGCAGCACCTGTGGAGCTCACGCACACAGCAAGCTGTGGGGTGATGAGGTCACAGCGGTGACTCAGGGTTGTGCTGAGAGTCCTGGGCTTTCTTCTGCATTCCTGCCTCTGCGGATATAAGACATTTCCCCCAGGGTGCAGGGGTGGGGAGGGACTGGTAACGCCTCCTGTGACCTGTCAGCAGCACCAGGGAAGAGCTGAGGGGCCTGTCTGCCTGGATGCAGACAAAGACAAGAAGGAAGGCTTTATTCTGGTCGCCACTGAGGGGACGCTGGTTATCATGGCCTGGAGGGCATCATGGTGGGAGCCTGAGATGGGCATGAGCTGCTTCTCTTCTAGTCAGTTCAGGATCCCAGCTTGTGGGATGGTGCCACCCGCATAAGGGTGACACCTCCGTGTTAGGTTACCTCAGTGAACCTAATCTAGAAACTCTCACGCCCAGAGATTTGTCTCCAAGGTGATGATTAGACTATAAGTTGCTGGCTTCAGTGGAGAAGGCTGAAGGGAAGACAAGCCTGCCTGCTTCCCCTCTGTCCTAAAATGCCACACCCAGAGTGGTGGGTCCTAAGCCCCGACGGGTACCTTGCTGTATGGCCTTTCCTGGGAAGATGTGAATAAACCTCTATTCCCCTCAAACGGAGTGCTGGCAACGTATCAAAAAACCAATGCGACAATGCCAGCCTAGTGAGCCGCCACGGGCTGGGGTCGGGGTTGGCTCCTATCCAGACTAAGGTGGCAACCACAGAGGGTTCCTGAGCGGAAGAGAAACCTGCTCTAACTCCGTGCCTCCTGTGGGCTCCCATACTGGGTGGGGTGATAGCAGGAGGGGTCTAAGGAAGAGGTGAATGGGCTGGTTAGGTGGGAGAGGCTGGGGTAGGAGTCTGAATCAGAGTAGGAAGCGGAGGGGATGGATGAGGACTCAGACACCAGTGGAGGCCATCAGAACAAGGTCAGATACTGCTTTACTAACTGTCCCCATGGCCTGTGAGGGCCCTGAGAAAGGACAGTCCGGAGCTCTAGAGATGGACGGTCATGTGCCACAGGCTAATGGAGATGCATGTGTTTGCCCGTGAGCCATGAGGCTGCAGGGCCAGGAGGACATCGGCCTGTGCAGTTCTATCCAGGGCTGTATATGGCTACAGTGGTTGAGAAGGTTGAAGTCAGC